TCTGATTCTCTCTTCCCCCCCCCCCCCCCCCCCCCTCTTTTTTTTTTTTTTTCACCGTAACTCAATACCTTTGATCATTTACATTGCCCAAATATAATTACTTTTACAAACCAATCTCACTAGAGCCGTAAAATATATATTTTATATATAGTCAATTTTAGAAGAAGAAAAAAAGAATAAATACTAAAAATTAATATTGGGAAATGAATATTTTTCGACTAAAACTTTAAAAAAAAGATTTTTTTTTTTTAAAGAAAACAAAACTCATTAATATGTTCAATATTTTGAGGTGTAAAGATAATTAGTTAATAATTCTAATAATAGGGGCATTGAAGAAATAAGGCTAGTTTTCTTTTAAGAAAAGAAGACTAGTTAATATGTTTAATATCTTGAGGTGTAAAAATAATTTGTTAATAGTTCTAATAATAGGAGCCTTGACTTAAGGGAGGCCTTAGGCAGTTACCTTAACAGCCTCACCCTAAGCCGGCATTGTCCCTAATTTCCCACATCTCCCATGCTTTATCTTTCTGTCTCTCCTCTGCATTCCCCTCCTTAGAGGCCAACAAAATGGAGCTCAACTTTGGAATCCTCCTAATCATTTCCTTCTCTTATGTGCTGCTTATCTCACCTCTAGCCTTATGCCACCCAAGCCCAGCTCCATCCCCGATTCCCGTCTCGTACATCTCGGAGGCCCCGGCATACATCCCCGACCCCTCCGCCTCGTACATCTCCAATGTCCCGGCTTCATCACCCAAACCATCATTGGCCCCGGACTCTTCCCCAGCCCCAAGCCCTTCATTGGCCTCGGAAACTTCCCCTGCCTCAAGTCCATCATCCAACGTCGAGTTCAAGGCTGAAAAACCATCAAATGCACTTGACCCGGTCGACCTTACAGCCATCAAGAAAATATGTGATGTCACAGAGAATCCTGAGCTATGCGCCAACTCCATCCTGCCCTACATGAAGGGGGCTATCAACCCTATGACAGCCCTCCAAACAGAGATCAACACATTCTTAAACCTCACGGAAAAGGCGCTTGCGCAGCTCAAGGCCTCGGCCAACAACCCTTCCACATCTAGCTCTACGGTGGATAACCTCAAAGTGTGCTTGGATATCTATACCTCGGCCAAGGATGACCTAAACCAAGCCCTGGACGCCATCGCTTCCAACGACATGGGGTTGTTGAAAAGCGTGCTCAGCGGGGCGATTACCGATTTGGGGACGTGTGATGACACTTTCGCCGAGGGCGGAGATGAGTTGCCGTTAAACAATGATTTGGTTGCTACAATGCATAAGCTGGCTAACAACTGCATGGACATTTCCGCAGTACTGCTCGTTTAGATGTATTTGATATAATTGAAACGTGAAAGATGATTAATGTAAACGAGTCTTGTTTTCTTTGTTAACGGTCTATCGTTAATGTCTCTATTATGACGATTATCTCAATTATGGGCTCTAATTAGCTGCTTATGGTGCAACATTTTTTTTGTTTTTTTGTTTTTTATTCAGAGGAGATACAAACACAGGATGAATGTTTTTCTTATTTGATTATATATGTTGACCATCTAATTAATACTGCTTATGTACCCAATTATATGTAATTACAGGATTGCATCTTTGTCTACGCAGACTTTCATATTGAGGTTAGATAAATTACAATTGCATTAGAAGTTCAGCATTGAACAAGATCAAAACCGCAACGAATATCAACAAAAGCATAGGAAAGAATTCCAATTAGTTTACCCCATGGCGAGATTACTTTAAAATGAAATATTTTCTTTCAGAAGAATTCAAGGTCGTAGTACAACCAAGAAATATGCTGCAATATAGTTTATAACATTAAGACGTCAGAAAACATAACAGAACACAGAAACTACCATATTTCTATCCTAACTATGTGGAAAGATTCTCATCGCATACATATAAAGTTGAAGATTACTTGAATGGCATGAAAAGTGAAAACGAAAATAATGCGAAAAGAGATGCTATAGTATCAAGCCTTTTTAATTCCACCAAATTAAAGAAAAAATATATATTATGAACTTTTTAATATATATACTTTCATTAACCATTTTTTTTCTCCATTGGTAATTAAGACCATTTTTAAAGACTAATTAACAAGACAACTAACATATATATCGCGCAAATATCAATCTCTAAAACATCATGTAGTTATATCCAAAACAGAATACAAAAATAGGAGAGATTGGGATTACAATATTATCATTATCGACAAAATCTAACTTGGGTGCTTCAGCTTTATATCTTCTGGATTCTTGTAACTGTACTGTCTTAAAATTACAATAAATATGAACAAACTCCTATATCGATGGAAAACCCCAAAACACTCCGGTCATTCTATGTAAGTTTAAGACACACACACGCATATATATACTCACACAGACAAGACATACTCAAGATTAAACATTATTGGCGATGGACATGAACATGAACATGGAAATCCTCGTCCTCGTATCGGTCACCTCTCTCCTCCTCTCACCTCCCACTATCCTCGCAGCCAAACATCCCCCATCAACAATCTCCCCGAGACAGCAGAGACTCCTCTCGCAACTCCAAGAAATCTGCAACAAAACGACACACCCTTCACTCTGCGCAAACTCCGTCATAAAATATTACTCCAAAACGTCGTCTTTTAAGACCGCTACGAGAGTTGAGCCCGTGACGGTGCTATACGCGGGCATCCAGGCCACGTCGGAGTACGTCGAGAGCGCCGCCACAGAGGCCTGGAGGCTCCGAAGCGACACGTCGTTTGGAGCTTCCGTGGTATGTGAGGAGGTTTATGGGAAGGTAATGGAGGTGGATCTGAGGACGGCGGTGGATGGGATTTTGACGAAGGACTTGTTTGTGCTGTTTACGAGCCTTCAGAACGTCGGGATCGCCGCCACGGCCTGCGAGGAAGCGTTGCAAGCGACGTCGTTTGAGAAGGTGCCGGTGTCGGTGATGACGGAGTTTGGTGAGAAGGTTTCGCAGATGGGTGTCGTTTGCTTGGACCTGGCTCATATGCTTGACTGGCGCATTCATGATTGATGATGAGGGGAGGAGGAGAGATACTGTTGTCGTATGTGGTGTGGGAAATTAAAATTAAGATAAGATTAAAATGTTTTCTATTTTGTTGCGTGCAATGCAAGAAGTACTTTAACACGAGATTTGTTGATGAAATTTTATGAAGGAAAGCGTGCTACAATAATAGTGTTTGTGTGAGTTATTATTGATTGATGTTGCTCAATAAGAGAGATAGGGGCCGGGAGACGAGAGGAGAGGAGAGATGTTGTCGTATGGAAAATGTGGACAAATTAGTTGTTGTTATTATTGGCTTTTATTTTTATTTTTAGAGTTGTTGTTATTATTGTTATTTATTTATTTATTTATTTACGTGCAATGCAAGGATTAGAAGATGAAATGTTGTTGATGATATATATGAAAGAAAACGTGCTACAATGTTTGTATAAGTTACTAATTGTCCTTGATTTTTGCTAAGATAAGCACTGCTTATGGAATGTGGAGTTCCCTTTCTCGTGATTTGCACATTCCTTTGTATAATAATTATCTTTTTTTATCTTTTTTTATCTTTTTTTTTTCTTTTTAAGAAGGGAATGGCGCAGAAGGTGTAAATTGAGACAAATATTTCAGTTTAAAGACTCAACTATGGTTGATAAAAGTATTTGGACAAACTTACATGGTTTGTCATGGTTTTGTGAAAACCTATCATTTATACCATTTTGAATAGTTGGGTGCTATTGTGATTTTTTATTTTTTCATTGTTAATTGAAAGGAAAATTTTATTTTGGTACCATCTGTTATATTAAAATTTGAATTTGGTACCCTCTATTTTTAAAAATTTCACGCCGGTGTCTTGACATTTTAGAAAATCTTTTTTTTAGGTACTTCGGAGCCATTTTTTGGGATATGAAAAGATAAAATTGTCCTTATTATAAAAATTCATTTATTGACCCTAATTTTGGAGAAAAAAGGATTTTCAAAAAGAATTTTAAAAAGCTGAATTTTTTAAAAAAGATTATGCTCTATAGGTATAACAATTTATAAAATCCTTTATTTTCTTTAAAAAGATTTTCAAAAAAAAAAAAAGCAGAGGGTACTAAAAGAAGATTTTCTAAAAGGTCGAGGTACCAGTATGAAATTTTCAAAAATAAAGTGTACCGATAAAACAGAGAGTATCAAAATGAATGCCCGTTTGGTTGGAGGATTCGTTCTTTGATTCGAATCATGGTTTATGGTTCGCTATAGTATTTTTTCTCACAAAAAACACTCGTAAATCGAAAATGGTTCTAATCTCGTAGTTCTAATCCATGAACCAAACGAGCTCGAAATGTTTCCTTAATTAAATTAGCAATTGTTTATTTTTAAATAGAGTGATGTAAATAATACTTCTCACTATCTTGAGTGGTACTTCTGGTTTTTCCTTAATTTTTGTAAGATAAAGTGATATGAAGACCATACTTGAGCCTAAATGAGATGGTAATAGCGTCAACATAGAAAACGACAATAAAAGGAGGACAGTACCATCAAGGAAACGACAACGTCCTTTAAACGTTTATGGAAAAGACGACAACAACCTAAAAATACGATAGTAATTGGACAAACGGCAACAGCTGGTAAAAAATAAACAACAAAATGTAAAAACGACAATGGTGTTAAACAATGAAAATAATCTGAAAAGGACGCAAACTGAGAGAGGATTTTTGGGGGAAAGAAAACCAAAGAAAAGAAAAGTTAAAACTGGACGAGATAACCGTTTATTGTCATAACCTCAAAATAAGACAGTAATTGGACAAACTACAATAGCCATTAAAAAATAAAGAAAAAAATTGTAGAAATCACAATAGCGTTAAACAGTGAAAATAATATGAAAACGACAAAACGACGCAAACTGGAGAAGGATTTTTAGGGGTAAAAAACCAAAGAAAAGAAAAATTGAAACTGGACGCGGTAACGGTTTAAAGAAAACGACAATATTCTTAAAATACGACTATAATTGGACAAATGGCAATTGTTATTATTGAAAAAATAAAGAAAAAAAATGTAAAAACGACAATATCGTTAATCGACGAAAATAATCTGAAAACGACGTAAGCTGGGAAAGGATTGTTTTAGGGAAAAAAAAAAACCAAAGAAAAGAAAAGTTGAAATTTGACGAGATTAAGGTCTCATTCTTTTCGCTGATTCGAGTTTTATTACAGTAAAAAATTTTCAGAAACAGTCATATTTAACTTTTTTTTACAGTAAAAAATTTTCACACAATATCATATCTCAACTCAAATTAAAAATTTAAATTAACAAACCGAACGGCTTTAACAAAAAGGGAAGAAATAAATATGTCTCCCCATTCTTCTTTTTTAATAAGTCCTGTTAATTGATGGCACAGAGGATAAAATCGGCCAAACAATAATTTGACCCTTAAAAGAGATAACATAACCGTAGAGTTCACCAAATAAAGAGACAAATTAACTAATCAGAAAAGACAGGTCTGACACGTGGCAACTCAGAAGAGGACACAAACACACTAACGTAAGCCGACGGGTGCGCACGGTCTTAAACTACGCACAAACTTGCAGGGTCTTTAGTCTTCACAAAGAGAGAAAGAAAGAGATAGCTAAAAAGCTTGTATTAGAGAGAAGACGGGTCGAGTTGAGGAGTTAGTATAACTCAGTGAGTGGGTTCGACCGAGTCAGGACGAAATTGGGATATAAATCGAAAAAAATCAAAAACAAAAAAAAAAAAAAGGAAAAAAAGGAAAAAAAAAAACCCACAGGAAGGGGACTTTGGGCTTAGGAACGAGATGGTGAAGAACGAGAAGGAGATTATTACCACTACCACCACCTCCACCTTCTTTCTCTTTCTCTCTCTTCTTTTTCTTTCTTACCCAATCTTTCCTAACCTTAACCCTAACCCTAACTTCTTCTCTTCTTTATTCGCCATCGTCGCCCATCTTATTCTTTGCTGTTTTTCTCCGCGATTCCTTTCCTCGTCTCTTCAATTCTCTCGCTGTTTCTTCGTCTTGCTGGTTTGGCCAATTGGGGTTCGGGAGCTTTTTCGTTGGGGAAGATTTTCGATTTCTTCCTTTTTACGGCGGCGCTCGGTCCCGGTGCTCGGATTGCCTTCGGAGGATAAAGGTTAATTGGATTGATTGGGTCGTGTCTTTTGATTTTGACGTGAAAAGAGGTATCTTTTGTGTCAGTGTATGGGTTTTTATTTTCCTGTTTTGCGGAATTTGGGTCTGTAATTGGTTGTGAGCTTCTGGGTTTCTCTTTGTTGGTGATGGATTCATTGTGTGTTTGTGTATGTTTTGCGGGATTCGGATGATCTCTGTGTCTGGTTTTGGGTTTGAGGTTCCTAATTTTGGTGTTTTGATTAGGGTTTACTTTGATTTTTAATTTTTTTTTTGGGTAAACTGTTTTAGGCAATTCATTTAATTTCGTATAAAATTTATTGCTTTAGTGAATGTCTGATGGATCATTGCTTGCATTTTCGTTCTTTTGGGTGCATTTTATTTATCTCTTCCTGTTTGCTTCTTTATTGGTTTCTTTTATATCAATTGAGACTTATTGCGTCTGAATTTTTCCAGTTTTGTTATTGTTTTGTTGGTTTTGAATTAGATATCTTAGCTACTGTAGATTTATTCTTCTGGGGTGTTGGATTGTCTCTTTTGTCTGTTGCGAGCTATTCACTGGTTGTTACTGTGGGTGTCTTGTTATGAATGCAATACCTCATACAATTTTCACACAATTATATGTTTTTATTATTCTAAAGCACCGGAAGAGAACATAACATCTCTATTTTGCTCAACGGGGAAAATGTCATATGTTTCCTTATTTCTGGTATAGGTTTTTCCTTGAGTTTGCTGGAGGAGAGGTTATTATGGTATTGTCTCTTAATGTAATGTACTGAGACGTAGTAGCGGGAAAAGAAAAAAGGGTACATTTGCATTCCCCTAATGGAAGAGTTTGGTGTTGCTGCTCGGTTTGATGGTATTGGCAATACTGTGAGAAAGAAGAGGAGCCAAACTTGTCGTCGACCTCGACCGGATTCACAGACGCATGTGGAAAATAATGATGAATCGCCGATGTCGTCAACACCACCTTCCGATGATGTGAATAAGGCTTCTAGTGATGAGAATGCTGGTTATGATTCAAATTCAAACAGGAAAGAGTTCAGTCTTAATCAATGTATGTCCAAGGTTTCTTCCGCTGCTGGGAGAGATAGAAAGGATGGGGGGTTTAATTTATATCACAGTAACGAGCCAGGGCGAAGTGGGTCCAATAACAAACGTTCAAGCGAAGGTGTCCTTGCGCCAGCTAATTGGAAAGGCTCGAGCACGGGGAAGGATGGTGTTGAATCAGAATCAAGAGGTGCAGATGTACTTAGTGGACGGAATGGAGAGAGTTCGAGTTCTAGGCAGTCAGTAATGTTGGATGGATTTGGAAATGAAAATAAGGTTAAAAAAGTTAAGCTCAAAGTTGGTGGTGTGACACGTACAATTCAAGCCAATTCTGCCTCTAATGGTATGTCAGGTGGTACTGGATCCTCCTCAAAAAGTTCTCGAGCCTCAGATGCCTCTAGACCGCGGCAGAAGCATAGTATTCAGGTATTTAACAGTTATTTTTGTCATATTGAGTTTCTTAGTAACGGTAACAATCATTTAGAAGAGCAATTCCATTTTTCCCCTCTTTTAGGTACAGTGTTATTAAATTTTAAATTGGTTACAGGATCTTAGAAGCATCCAATTCTTAATTGTCAGTTATCTCTTTTAGATACTCATATTTCACGTGCGTATTCGTAGCACTGAGGAAAATAATTTTCCATCTGAGTGAGTTTCTTAATTGGGTAAAATTGATATTTTGGATCTTATTGTTGTGGAATAATATCTTCTGTATTAATGTTTAGTTATGGTGTATATCGGCATATTAAATGCTTTGTTACTGGCAGAATCCAGTGTAATCTTTTTGCTGAACAGATCTTTTAATTTTATAGCAGGCAGATTCAGATGAATACATTTCCTCTTCCGATAAGAGAAGTGGCTTACAAGGAATTCCGTGGAAGGATTTCTCAAGAGCTGGTTTTAGTATTAGGAGGGACGATTCTTTGATGGGGAAGGCTTCAGGTAAGAGTTCCTCCGGAAGGGAAGGGGACAAGTCTGAACCAGTGCGTAAGAGCAAGCGGGTTCCCAAGAGGCGTGTGCTTGATGGGGACTTTGATGATGAGGAGGATGATGAAATCCGGTACCTAGAGAAACTTAAAACGTCAAAGGTTGCTCCAGGTTATAGAGAAGATGATGAAGAGCCTAGCAAGAAACATAGAAAACTTTCTGTGGTTTCCAATATTGAAATTGGTGGTCCGTCAAGGTCGGCCAAAGATGGGAAGAAGAAGTTGAGGTTAGATAGATTGTCTGGGGACACTGACTATGAGGAAGACGAAGAGTCATCTGATGGTGAAATTGATGGTAAGAAGAAGAGGAAAAAGCAGAGGAAGGAAACTGTAGACTCATTGATGGATGGTAAGAGGGAAATGACTCTGACAACACGTCAGCGGGCTCTTCAGTCTAGCAAAGATGCTTCAACTTCTGGTACAAGCTTAATTGAGTTTCCAAATGGTTTACCGCCTGCTCCACCAAGAAGTGAGTTTTTCCATAGTCTTTTCACATTCTTTTGATTGTTTCTGATGAAATTCAATTAAAGGGTTTGTTGCTTATTTTTCTTGGTTGTAGGGCAAAAGGAGAAACTTACGGATGTGGAGCAGCAACTAAAGAAAGCTGAGGCTGCCCAAAGACGTAGGTTGCAAGTGGAGAAAGCTAATAGGGAGACTGAGGTTTGATCATCTTGTTTATGTCTTCCATCAATTGTTTTGGAGCTGTAAAAGTAGCTTTTTGCTTACTTGCACCGAATTATATGCAGGCCGAGGCAATTAGGAAAATCCTGGGTCAAGATTCTAGCAGGAAGAAACGGGAAGATAAAATAAAGAAGCGCCAGGAGGAGCTGGCACAGGTAATGAAACGGTTATTTTTGTAAACTTATATCTCCAGCTCCTTTGTGCAAACAAATAGCATTATTTACTTTTGTTGTTCACATTTGATCGTTTTCTTTGGCAGGAGAAGGCTGCTAATGCTTTATTACTCGCATCAAACACCATCAGATGGGTGATGGGTCCTACTGGGACTGTGGTGACATTCCCAAATGAAATGGGCTTCCCTAGTATTTTCAACTCCAAGCCCTCCAGGTAATAAGAACATCATTTCTCTTAAACTCAAAAAGTTGCACACCTATACTTGTTTGGTGATGTTCTAAAAGATTGTTTTGATGAATGTTCAGTTATCCTCCTCCACGAGAAAACTGCGCGGGCCCTTTGTGTTCTAACCCATACAAGTATCGGGATTCAAAGTCAAAGCTTCCTCTTTGCAGCCTGCAATGCTACAAAGCCATTCAAGAAAAGATGCTAGCTGAAACTACCTGCTAGTGCTCGCAGTAACCTGGCTTTAGCTTTGAGGCTTTGCCAGTTTTGTCACATTTATGTTGATAAACAGATATTTTTATGTAGTGCTCTGTATTTGGAGATCGGTGAACAAACTCTTTGACTTAAAGTAGAGAGAGATTAATACAAGTTCTTGCTATTCTTCAGATGTTGCTGTAATATAGCTCTTTTTCGTTTCGTATTAATAATTGTTTTGAAGTAATTTCTCCATCTGGGGCACTCTGTTCTAGTTTTTCTAATGTGAGGACAGGGTTGTGTATTATGGGCCAAATCAATTAGATTATAGGATAAAAACTATTATTAGAATGTCATAAATAATAAGTCTCTACAAAATCACGGCAAATCATGTGTTTTACTTTATATTCCACTCTTACTGTATCGAAGATGAATACTTATCACATCGGAATTTCACACATTATATATTACAGAATTCCTAGGAGAGAAATCGGAATTTCACACATTATATATTATAGAATTCCTATGAGAGAAATCTTAAGAGGAAATTGCTCTCCGCCTCTCCCATTGCCAAAAGTAATCTACTAGGTTGTCATTGGTAATTTATTATATGTAGCCAGAATCAACAATCATTGGCCGTCGTCGGCGTCGGTCGTTATAATCGGTGATTTAATATTCCTTTTCAATAATACATTATTACCGATAATCTTTACCGGATTATTTTCCATTTTTGACACATGACAGAGCATATTTAGTAGATTATCACCCAATTATTATTATTATTATTATTTTTTCAAGAAATTCTCAGCCGAAATAAACATAATCTGAGAAGGATCCCTCTATTGGGCCACCTTGCGGACCAATCATGGGCTCATCGAAATGGACTTCCCTGTTAGTGGGCTCCAGATTTTTTTCCAACTCGAAAGCAACGGGTATTGGACTAGAGAAAATTACAAAATTTGTCGTTAAGAGTGCATGATATTGTAATCTAAACGAAGGGCAATAACGTAAAATCACAAGGCAATGGCCCGAACGAAGGCGTTTGGGGGCAGATTGAAGAAGATGCACCAATTCATTCCTTTCAGCTGCTTTCGACAGTCACTCTCTTCTATACTGCTCTTTCTTGCTTCACCTTCCTTCCTTCCTCTTCTATTATATATTTTTCCGCCGGCGTACGCTCCAGCGGATAAGGGAAACACTCCGACCACATTCGACGGCTCCGAAGTGAAAATACTCGCAATTTCAGTGGAGAAATGGCTCACACTTTCGTCTCCACTTCGCCTTCTTCTCTCCGATTCAACTCCCTTGCCTTCTTCGCTCCTAACCCTAGCTCCAACTCCGACCCTCTCAAGCTCTCTCTTCCTTTCCAACCCTTGCGTTCCAGGTACTACTCTTCTACAACTCTTTTTTCTTAATCTCTCTCTCTCTCTCGCTCTGTGTGTGTGTGTGTGTGAAATTTCTGTGTTTGTCATCCAAGTTGAAATTGTGTTGTATGATAATTTCCTTTTAATTTTAAGAATATATCAGGTTTCGATTTGGTTCAGGATTTGTGTAGAAAAGGATTTATGAACGCCTCTGTTATTACCCAGGAGCTTAGATATTTTATTGCAATTTGTTTAATAGAGCTATTTGGATTGGTTTAGGATAGAACTTTCGCGGTTCAAATCTGAAAAACTGTTGAATGAAACCGTATTGTTTCTAAAGCCTTGGAAAAAAAAAAAATAAGTTGGCCGAATTGATACATAAATAACTGATGAGGAACAAGCTATAGATAGTTAGGAATTTAAAATATTTGTATTTATCTATTAGGATTATATAGGTTTGGTTAAGTTTAAATGTTGAGTTTATCTTATTACTTGGTTTGACTCACTATTTTACTCTCTTTTTATGTTCTTATACTCTTCAATTACTAGTTACTACTGTAAAAGTTCAACTCAAAATAGAGAAGTATTTTGTGTTTATGTCGTTTTGTTTATCCGGGTCCTGTATATCATCAAGTGCTGAATAATTTTACAGGAAGTTGAAGAAGCTAGTTGGAAATGTAAAAAACGCTCAGAATTCATCTATCAAGGCCGTTTACTCCAGTGAGTTTTGGGTGCCAGAAAAGAGCTCACGTCAGGGAATTTGGTCCATAAGGTAGAATTTAGAGATGTTAGTTGAAATGCATCTTAATAAAATGCCTTTCTTTTTCCTTTTCATTTATGTCACTTGTTTTATTTTGCTGGAAACTGTTGTCTGGGTGTTGTAGGGATGATCTGCAAGTCCCAACGTCACCCTACTTCCCTACATATGCACAGGGACAGGGGCCGCCGCCGATGGTGCAAGAGCGCTTCCAGAGTGTCATTAGTCAGCTTTTTCAGCATGTAAGGAGTGGTTTTGATAATTTCCATTGTTATCTTGGCTCAATTGTTGAAGTTTCTGATTGCTTTTTTTTTATCTTGTGGTTGTGATTATCAGAGAATAATTCGCTGTGGTGGTGCTGTTGATGATGACATGGCAAACATAATAGTTGCTCAACTTCTTTATCTCGATGCTGTTGATCCTAATAAGGTCCGTTGGCAGTTGCATTATCCTTTTTGGCTTCCGGGGTTTTATTTCCTCTCTTTATCTTCTCATAATTATTGGAAAATTAAAGATTGATGTGCAAATGATCGAACCATATTATGTTCTCATTTTGTAAACAGGATATTGTTATGTACGTAAACTCCCCTGGTGGATCGGTTACAGCTGGTAATATTTACATTAGGGACTGTGCTTTTGTATTTTGTTCACAGGGTGTGCATTGATAATTATTTGCTTATCCTGCTCTGTTATTTTCGTAGGAATGGCCATATTTGACACAATGAGGCATATCCGACCTGATGTCTCCACTGTATGCGTTGGACTAGCAGCTAGGTACTTGATATTAGATTTGTTTAGACCCTTTTTAGCATCTCTTGGTGATTTTCATGTGAAACTAATTAGTCTGCTCGACTTGATGAGGCATCTTTTGTTTTCCTTGACAGTATGGGGGCTTTCCTTCTTAGCGCTGGTACCAAAGGTAAAACAGTTATCATGGTTCATGACTAGTTATCTAATCTTGGTTCATCATCTTACTTTTGCTAAATGTCGTCTTCCTGGTGTATTGATAACTGAAGGAAAAAGATACAGTCTGCCAAATTCAAGGATTATGATCCATCAGCCACTCGGTGGAGCTCAAGGTGGACAGACTGATATAGATATTCAGGTACATAATTAGCTCTCTCAACTTTCAGTCTATATCCTGAATCCTTAACATGATTATTAGTTAAAACACGTGTTTATGACACTGATGAACCAACTAATATTTACTTTTTTAAGTTTCCACAAGTTTATCTGCGTTTTCCCAACCAAAAATGCAAACATGGTAACTGAAGCAATGAACTAATGTGCTATATAGCTTGTTCTCGAGAGAAAATTGGTTTTGGCAGTAGGATAATTGAAATTCCTGAGCATTCATCTCAGCCCCAACTTTTGTTTAGTTTCTCATGTACTCATCCGGTTCCTAAGCACTTGAGATGTTGTTTGTGTAGGCAAATGAAATGCTGCATCATAAAGCAAACTTAAATGGGTACCTCTCCTATCACACTGGTCAAAGTCTGGAGAAGATTAACCAGGACACTGATCGTGATTTCTTCATGAGTGCGAAGGAAGCCAAAGACTACGGACTCATAGATGGTGTGATAATGAATCCACTCAAGGCTCTTCAACCTTTGGCAGTTGCAGAGGGCAGTGAAGATAAATCTGCGGCGCAAACTTCAGCAGAGAGTTGAGGTGATGGGGTCTATGAACTTTCTTCTTGTCTTGACAAAAAGCACATGAATGAGTACGTTGTAGAGTCCGATGAAAAGATGATTATAGTTTGTTTACCCAGTTCTTTTAAATGCTGAATAATTTTAGTATTTGTCTGATAAAAACAATAGGAAAACCATTAGTTTTGCGATGGCACCTCTGAATCAATGATTTAGAAATAGAATATTTGCAATTTTCTTTTATAGACTTTTTTTCTCAGGTGATTGGAGCTTCAGCTTAATATGTTTTGTTGTAGCAATAAGTAGGGTGGTTGGACTAAGAATGGTAATGATGATGAAGGGAAAAAAGAAAAAAGGGCAAGAGATGGATACAAATTCAGCTTCTTTCGGCCCTTTTAGATGCCACACGTGTTAATTATCCATGTAGACCTAGTGATATTCATCATAAAGAAACCTAGTGATATTCACCATAAAAAAAGTGATAAAGGGGTTGATTAGAGTATCTTTAATACAGTGTTAAATTGATGCGCGAATGTTAATTTTTGGCATTTGAATGGATAAATCACTCTCTAATATTGTTTTTTATGTTAAATTTAATAAATGTTATACTTTGTGACGAATTTATAACAAAGAATAGCAAATATCAAATATGGCATTTTATTATTATTGGTTGCTATATTAACTTATCTCATTAAATTATTACAACATTTTTATTTAAAAGTTATTTTAATATTAAACGTTTATCTTTATAAGTTTCAAAATATAACAATCACTAAAAAAAATAGATATGATATAGACGAGTACTTTTTAGTGGTACTATAGCATTAGCATTAGTATTAGTATTTGATGGTCGTGGATATATTATTTGAAATACAGTATTTTGATTGAGAAAGTACGTTAATAAATTTGTTTTCTTAATCATTTCCTTTTAAGAGAAAAGTATTATATTCTTATACGAAAAGCTAGTTAGTGTACAGACTTCTTATGAAATTTTGCTAGTTTTATTAGTGTCCAATACGTTTGAAATGTTTTTGTTTTACTTCAAGAAAAAAATAAATAAATAAAGAAGGAATGTATTTGTACGGGCTAATCATCTTATCAATTTTTTTTGGCCACAACCAAATCGTCCTATCAATTTATTCCCCATTACAACCTTTCCAGCCAAAAAGGAAAAAAAAAAGAAAAAAGGGGAATTTTCTCCTATAGATCAGTTTCTCGGTGGTTTCATAATTATAAGATTCGGTTCTATATATCGGTAGCTTAGTTTATAACTGTTAAATTTAATTAAAATACATTGAATTAAAAAAATATATAAGAATAGATGATTTTTTATATATATATATATATCTCACAGCTAAAAAGTAAAAAAACTACTAATAATTTTTTTTTTTTTTCTAATCACATTAGAGAACTCTCAAATAGAAAAAGGAAATGTAATTCAAGCAATTTTTTAGTGTAGAAAAATAATCGTGAAAGATGCGAGCCTCGTAATCCATTAACGTGCAAGGCGTGCGCCTAGATACATGAAATATAATTTTTTCTTTTCTTTTTTCTTTTTCCAAAACTAATGATTTAGATAGATTATACGTCAATTTGGCATTTTCTACAGCGAATCTATGACGGCAAAACCCAAAAAAAAAAAAAAAAAAAAAAAAATC